GACGTGGGACTCGATCCCAGGACTCCGGGATCATGACCTGAGCCGAAGGCAGTCGCTTAACCAACTGAGCCACCCAGGTGCCCCTCTCTAACAAAATCTTTAAAAAAATAAATAAATAAAAACAAAAAACAAAAAGGAACTACACACACACACACACACACACACACACACACACACAGGAGTAAATCTCAAAAACACCCTGATGAGTGAAGGAAGCCTTACACGAAGGAGCATACACTGCAGGATCCCATTTCTATGAAGCTCTAGAACAGGGAAAAGGAATCTGTGACAAAGAACAGGCACAGGGCTGCCTGGGGCCCAGCAGGAACCTGCTGGGCGGGGCCAAGGGAGCTTCCAAGGGTGCTGACGGAGGCTGGGATACTCTGCAAAGGGCATCCCTAAGATCTGTGCGTTTCACCATACGCATGCTTCACCTCCAAAGACAAGAACCATAAATGCTAGTCAATGCCACACGCGCTGCCGCACTGAGAGGTGACGTCGGCCAAGGTCTGCAACTCTGAAATGCCCCCAAAAAATAAAATACCGATGGGTGGACGGATCAGGGCCAGCCAGCTTTTCCTTAAAGGACCAGGGAGTAAATATTTTAGGCTCATGACCACATAAGTGTTACAACACTTAACTGCCCTTTCTTAAACTCATCGTATTTAAGTAACTTACAATAATTAGTATTTTAAGTATTCCTAAGCGCACAATTCAGGGGCATCAATTACATTCACAATGTTGTGCAACCATCACCCCCACCTATTCCCCAAAATTTTTCGTGCCCCAAACTAAAAGTCTGTCCCCACGAAACAGTAACTCCCCATACCCTTAACCCCAGGTACCCTCTAGCCCTTTCTGTGACTTGTCTATTCTAGATCTCTCATGTAGCATGGGCCCTTTTGTGCTGGCTGATTTCATTAGCAGAATTAGTTTTCACGTTTCCGCATGTCACGGCAGGTGGCAGAACTTCCTTCCTTTTAAGGCTGAGTACCAGTCCACTGTACGGCTGGACCACACTCTGTTTACCCATTTGTGCTGATATACGTTCGGAGGCGTCTCCACTTTTAACTATTTGGAATAATGCTGCTATGAGCGCTGGCCTGCAAGTGTCTGGGTGCACTTGGAGTACGGAATTGCCGGGCACACGGCAACCCCCTACATAGCGTTCTGAGGAGCTGCCAGACTGCCTCCCACAGTGGTCTCACCCTCTCCCGTTTCCCAGTGGTCTCCACTTTCTCCAAATCCTTGCCAACACCTGTTATTTTCCCTGTTTCTGACGACAGCTACCATAGCACGTATGAAGAACTATCTCCCTGTGGTGCTGGCTCATATTCGTCTAGGGACTAATGATGTTGAGCATCTTTCCATGTGTTACTGGCCATGTGTGTATCTTCTTGTGGAGCAATGTCAAGTCCTTTGCCTATTTTTCAGTGGGTGTTTATTGTTGAGCTGTAGGAGGAGTTCGCAGATCTCTGGACATCAAATCCTTATCAGATATATGATTTGCAAACATTTTCTCGCCTTCCGTAAGTAAATTATCTTTTCATTTTCTTGATAATGTCCTCTGGTACACAAAAGTTCTTGTTTTTGATGAAATCCTATTTATTTTTGCTTTTGTGGCCTGTGCTTTTGGTGTCCTAGCTAAAAATTCACTGCCTAATCCTAAGTCATGAAATTTACCTTTGTTTTTTTTCTTTCTTTTTTTTGGAGAGAGAATCTCAAGCAGACTCCCCACTGAGCATGGAGCCCCACCTGAGATCACGACCTGAGCTGAAACCAAGAGTCGGACACTTAACCGACTGAGTCACCCAGGCGCCCCACCTTTGTTTTTTTCTAAGGGTTTTTTGGGCTTAGTGTTTATATTTAGGTCATTGTTCCACTTTAACCACTGCATACAGTGTGTGGCAGGAGCCCAGCTTTCCCTGGCACGTGGAAATCCAGCTGTCCCAGCACCATTTTTCAAAACCGCTCCTTGTTCTCTTAATGAACATATTTTGGTCAAAAATTCACCGGCCAGAGATATGTGGGTTTATTTCTGGACTCCCAACCTATTCCATTATATCCCAGTACCATGCTGTTCTGATTAAAGATAAGACAGTCACAGAGCAGCCTATCTGGAAGAGACTCTCAGCCATTTCCCCAGAGACGAAGAGCCGCTCTTACCTGAGACCACCACAGGTCTGGAGGACGGCGTTGCACTCTGCGAGTGCTGCTTCTTCTCCAGGGCTGCCAGCATTCCTCCCAAATCCAACTGTACTGGAATCTGGCTCTTCTTTCCACTATTTTTAAAATTATTCTAAATAATTAAAAAATCAGAAGTTTTCTTAGGATAGCGTATTTTACAAGTGTGCTTTTTGTTTTACGACAAAAAGTCATATAAAAGATAAAATGAAATCTATTTATAGCGACCATTAAAAAAAAATCTTTAAAAAATTAAAGAAAAACCCAGATAATCCCACATTATCTTCCAATGTGACTGCCGTGGTTCTTTATCTCCTCCTTCTCTCCTAGCCCTGGGTTTCTCTCTGTCTGCATCTGCACTGTGAAGAAGAGCACACACCTGCAGGGAAGAAACCAGGACTTGTGCAGAGCCTTTGGTAACAGGAGTCCGTGCGTGAGGCTAACCGATCGGTGTTACTGTCTCCTCGGTACCACACTGCCTCCAACTGCCTGGAGGAGCCGATCGAATGCCATGGAATCATGGGGATACGACCAAGAATTTACACAAGTCCAAAATGCACGCAGCAGGTATGAAATTAGGCACGAAGCGTGCTCTACTTCAAAGAGCTGTTTTCTGGGGCCTGAGGCCGTGTGAAAAGCTGCCGAGGCAAGCTGCCGCACGCATGCGCTCAGCACATCCACCCTGCCCTCCGGCCCGGCCGAGGGTCCCGTCAACGGGCGAGCCCAGCGTGCCACGCAGCGGCTACAGAGACTCCATGCCAGGGACGGAAGAGGACCACGCTATACCATGGGAATTCCAGTGAATCTGCACAACGTTTAGAATTTTACTTCTCACAGATGTGAAAATAATGCCCCCACTTGAGAAGGCAAAATGGCAGTGAGGATGCTGGAGACCAGTGAAGAAATGGGACCAAGTGTGCAAGTTCTCCACCTGGATGACGAATCCACAGCGGGGCAGGGGGCTCAAGGAGAGTCCTCTCTTCACCTTGTACTGACCGCTTAGAGTTGAATCTGCGGTGGGGGGCGGGGGGGGGGGTCTCCTTATTTTGTTTTGTCAGACACTGCTGCCTCACAAAGAAACTCCTGTTTCCCGAATACACAGGCAACCTTTTAGCTTTGCGTCCAAGACCCCCAGCAGCCCGTGCTCCCCGCTTTCTGACGTAGCATGGTAGCTACCAGCGGTCTTCTCACGAAGGTGACAGACGCGTGCGCCTACAGCAACTGTACGCCGACACCCTGCATGTGATTCTCCAGTAAAGGAAGAAATCAAACCCAAACCACCTTTCTTGGTACATAAAGAAGTCTGGAAAAGAGTTTTTCTCGAGAGTTTAGTTGAGCAAGAAAAGTTAGGCCTAAAGCAACAACAGGGTCAATCTAAAAATTACCTGCGGCTGCTGCTGAGACTGAAAGTTCGGAGATGCTACTCTGTCTCTTCTTTCAGACGCAACTGCCAGATTGGGGAACTCCTCGGCATCCTAAGTAAACCACACACCCTTTAGCTCTTCGCAGATCACAAGAGTCAAGTGTGCCACGTGCAAGCTGTTCCTTGCCCGTGTTCTCTGTCTGTAACAGGCTCCCACAGAGTTTGAAGGGGATCTAAAACAGCCCCCAAACTGTTTTACTCTTAGAAACAAATTTAAAGACCACAGTTCTAATCCCACTGCCCTGGAGAGCAGGCGGGTGGGCCCCTGAGGACGCAGATGCCCCGGACCCCCGGGCACAAACGTGTTCAAGCACCCAGCCTTCAACTGTGTTTCCGTCAGAGTAATTGTCAGTCTAGACTCAGGTGATGGAAGTACCCTGTCCCGTGTGCTGCTCCCAGGCTAGAAAATAGAAATAAAATAGAAAATAGGGCAACAGGCCTCTAATGACGATGTTGAAGTCATTTAAAAACATCTTACGTGCTTTTCTTAGCATTTTAGGTGACTCAGAGAAGTTATGTGGGATATGGGAGCAGAACTCCACGAATTATTTGTTGGCCCAAACCATAATGTTCTGCCAGGATCGTAGGTCTTCACACATGCAACCCTAGTGTCCTCAGGGAGTATGCCAGGAGCCCTGGGAGCCCCCAGGTTTGTGGGAAACTCTCAGGTTTGGCCCTAAGCTGGATGGCACGCAGCAGAGCTGAGCACCCGGAGCCAGGCTGTTGAGTCTGGTATTGAGTCTGAACCCAGGGCAACTCCTTGCAGGACAGGGGCTATCTTGCGGTACCACAAGAAAACAGTTCACAGAGTGCTACTGCAAGTTTGTGCAATTCTCCTGGCCAGGGCCCATGATGGAGCTATGGGATTCTAATTTCTCTCTAGAGTGAAGTACATTACATTCACATTTCTGGATAGAAAAGGAGACCCTGCAAAAGCCAGCATGCCAAAGCAAGGAAAAACAGGTGACCAAGGTACTGAGGAGTAAGTATGAGCACTACAGTACGCACACCACTAGATCTCCACACAAGTACCCCTCTCGACTACTCACGCACACGCCCGCTCACCGGGTGCCCACTAGGACTCAGCCACTGCACTGGGCCGCCAAAGCAAAGAGTATGGGGGACGGCTATTCTCTTTAGCACTGGGCAAAGATTATCGAAGGGAATGTTGGAGATTTTCACTTAGGAAGCCCGTATGAATCTGTATTTCTATTAGGGCAGGCCCATTCATTGTATCATAAAAGGTGAGTAATAAATAGAAATGTACTTCAATCCTTGGTGGTTCCTGAACGGTCAAGACTTCATATTTTGATTTAGACTTTTCTTTCTTTTTCTTATGCTTTCTTGAGGCTTCATTCTGTTCAGGATCGCCACCTTGTGATGCTTTGGACTCGACAGAACAAAAAACACAGCAAAAATCATGGGTTTTTAAGGCATTCAATAGAATGTTTACTTCCATGAATCAGAGCAAACCTGAGATACCAAGTTGTTTAACCACATGGCAACTTTGTTCAGAGTTTGGCTCCTCATCTCTATTTTCCAAAGACCCAGCATTCAGTAGAGTACTTCTCAAGGAAAAGAAATCTGTTGAAAAAGCTGTCGTATCCAATTATTTTGAAACTGGTAGATTTGGACATACCTACTCCGAACCAGAGAATATTATTTTAACATCTCTAATACCAACTTGAAGTCTTTTCATAAACCCAGGTGTGTTGGGGGTGCCTGGGTGGCTCAGTTGGTTAAGCGTCTGCCTTCGGCTCAGGTCATGATCCCAGAGTCCTGAGATCGAGCCCTGCATCGGGCTCCCTGCTCAGAGGGAAGTCTGCTTCTCTCTCTGCCTGCCGCTCCCCCTGCTTATGTGCGCACATGCGCGCACTCCCTCCCTCTAATAAATAAAATCTTTAAAAATAAAGTAAAAAAAATAAATCCGAGTGAGCCATTTCTAACACCATGGCCCAGTGGTCCTTAAACCTGATCACACATCTGAAACCCCTGTGGAGCCCTCAAACCAGACAAATGTGTGGGCCCATCCCACACCTGCTGAATGTGACGCCACAGCTCCCACCCTCCCTCTCAAGTCAGGTGAAATGCACCTTGGCCTCAGGGCCTCTGCATATGCACCCACACTTGGATCCAGGCCAGGACTGTGCCCTCATTCCAGTTCAAGGGTAGTCCCACCTCCATGCAGCCTGTCCCTCTCCGTCTCCTCTGAAGCACCAATCACCACCAGTCTACACCATGGGGCTGGTCTATCAGAATGGAGGCGCTAAGAGAGCAGGGCCTTTGTTTTATCCCCAGCGGGGACTTACCCTCCAGTGGCTACTGGAAAGAATGTTTACCTCCTAACCTAAAGGACCTGTCCATAAGTGAAAAAGCAACTTTGAAGGATGAGATGTGTAGAATGGTCTCATTTTTAAAAGAAAAAAAAAAAAAACTTAAAAAACCAACCTCTATTTGTTGACATTCTGAGGAGCCTGAGATAGATATATACCCAGTTGTTAATGCAGGCTTCCGAGAGGTGGGCAACAAAGGGAAGATGACCTCCTTCATGAGTAGGTCTTTGTGGTATTACATTTGCTATTTCGGTAATAAGAACTCACAACACAGGGTTTCAGAGGGAAAAACCATCGTGATCCTACCATCCCCATTACACAAGGAGATCATGTCCCCTGGGTTGTGAGACTACAGGCGATTTTCTTGTCTTTATCTTAGAACTTTTCTAAAATAAACTTTTCTTACACTTATAATTAAAAACCAATTTTGGGGGCGCCTCGGTGGCTCAGTTGGTTAAGTGTCTGCCTTCGGCTCAGGTCATGATCCCAGGGTCCTGGGACTGAGCCCTGTGTTGGGCTCCCAGCTCCCGCTGTCTCTCTCTCAAATAAATAAATAAATGGAATCTTAAAAAAAAAAGGTTCTAAGAAAATAAAAACGTTAATATTATCTCTGAGAATCTTAACCGTGCATGAGGAACTCTGGTTCAGACAGCGAGACAGCAGCCAAGGGGCGGCCCCAGCCCGAGGCCTGCCGTGTCGCCTGGGCCCTCATGCCCACAGCTGGTAGCGCCACGTGTACTCAGAGGGGGACTCGCCCGCAACTCCGGTGTCCTTCACACTGTTCATAAAGCCGTGAGGACAAGCATACAGGTCTGACCTCACCGTAACTGTCAGCACACCTTCCCTCCATCAACAGACCGTCAACACACAGCTTCCGTTTGTGGGGGGTGGTCTATGACACTCTGGGTAACAGGAAGTGTCCTCTTACTCAAAAAGGGCACCACTGCACTCAACAAACGTGGCCATATTTCCACCTAAAATAATGTATCAATACACAATGAAAATCAAGAACAAAATTTAGACCAATAAAAAAGGCTTGTGGAGAAATAAATCTAGGGACCGATGAAAATGACAACTTAAAATTATTTGAATTGAAAGGGAAAAATGGATTCTGAAATGCTATCTTAAGATAAGCTGCAACTAACCAAGAATCAGTAACATATACCAGATGACCACAAAAGGTGGAATTCAGTTGTCTTCCTGCCCTTACCTTAGTAGGTAAAAGCAATTTAAATTCAACAGATGAAAGACGAGGGGGGAAAAAGGCAGGACTTTATACACCAGAGCATGAACTTCTGCCAGCATCTCTTCTTTAAAGACTTCAAAATGGTTCACAGATGTTTTAAGACCATGGGTGTAAAATCTACATCATCCCTTACTCAAAAAGCTACCACTTGTGTTCCCTGACTGAGGTTCTATATAACCAACTCAAATTAGCGACTACAGTACAGAATGAAACACTTTGTTAGGATCCGAGATAAAAAGACTATTCAGTGGCACAGAAGATCAACATAATCCAAACGTGACACATACCTTTTTAGCAGAGTGGATGTGTTTCTCTTTGTAGGAAGGATCTGAAGATAAAACTTCAGGAGGTGACATACTAACGCTTTTAGAGTCTGCTGACGAAGCGACCGTCTCTAGGTTTATCATGGAAGTAACGTTTTTAGGGGCTGCTGACTGTTCTGTAGATAATGTCTGCCGAACAACATAACCCATTGGTGTCCAAGATAACTCTGCTCAAAGATAACCAAAGTTGTTGAACAATCTCAACAGTAATATAAAAATACTTAGAAATTCTAAACATGTATTACATGAGGTCATTACTCAGAGCATAATTAAATTTAGACTGGTGCTCAAAACATTCTCTTGGAAACTAGAGCATTTGCTAAGCTTTCTTCTTGGAACACGCATGCAGAATTAACGTGTAGGCTGCATGATTTTCCTAGCAACTGGTTTTTTAACTTGGGGGTGCAGGTGGGTAGACGAATTATAGTTTTAGTTAAAAAATAATAATCCACAATTAAATCCAAGTGGCAAACACACAAAAATTAATAGGGCAAAGATCAAATTTTGGCCCTAACACATCTTGTTATGTACCATCAACACCGTAAGTCAAAAATCATGGACCTCAGCTACCACAGCAAGTGGTAATTTCTTTCTTCTTAGATCTCAGGCCTAACTACAGTGACGTTACTCCTTAGGCGCCCACAAGAAGAGGAGCCGGGCTGACCGCAGGCAGCATCCCCCCCCAGGCCAGACAGGCTGCTTCTGTACCAGACCGACACACCATTCAAGTCGCCTCGTAAGTGAAGATTTTTACTGAACCACACATTTACCACACGTGAGAATGCAAAAGAAAACACACTTGTGAATACAACTGGAATACTTTTGTAAAAATGTCTTGTTAGGACAAGCTACTCCGAAAAATTAGAGGCAGAATTACTGAACTCTCTCTGAAGATGTCACTTCTGGGACAGTCAGGCCAGATCTCTAATAATGGTCTGAAGCTCCCAAGACCCTTTGAGGGGTCCGAAGCATCAAAACCATTCTCCTGATGGAAGGAGCGGGCGCTGAGCCTCCCTGCGCTCTGTCCTGAGTGTCCAGCGAGGTTTTCAGGAGGCTGCATGACACGGGACAGTGAAACCACCACGCTACTGAGCCGGTCGGTAAAGAGTTGCAAAGATGTAAAACAAGGCTGCTCTCCGCACTACAATCTAACTTTGGGAAGTTATTTTTCATAAAAATATGCTATGTTGGGGCACCTGGGTGGCTCAGTCAGTTGAGCGTGTGACTCATGACTTCAGCTCAGGTCACGGTCTCAGGGTCTGGGGATCGAGCCCCATGTCGGGCTCCACGCTCAGCAGGGAGTCTGCTTGAGATTCTCTCTCCCTCTGCCTTTCTTTCCCTCTCTCTCAAATAAACAAATCTTAAAAAAAATACATGCTATGTTAACAGGTAGTGGGTTTATCATTGTTACTTGTATGAGAATTACAAAGTAATTTTTAGAATTTCTCAGTTTTAACTTTAGATATTACAAGTACTGATCGCTATCATGCAAATAAATAGAAGCTCTGGGGCTTTTTAAAGGGTGTTAAGGGGTCCTGATACCTAAAACTTTGAGAACCACTGGTGTAGGCTATATTTAAGGAAGCAATCATTTCTGAGTTCATAAGATTTCTCCCTTAACTGGACAAACTGGACACATTTCATTTAGAATTCTTTGCTCTTACTTTACACTCCCTGCACACTGATGGGGGATCTTGTGTACTTACTCCCAGCTTCTCTCACAGTGAGATCAGTTTGTTCACAACCCATCAGCTGTCTTAAAGAAGGCTTTAAAACAAAAACATTTCCGTTGCACTGAACTAAAAGTGAACTTGGAAAACAGGGCACTGGTAACTTAAAGCTGTGGCAGCTCCTCTTACCTCTGGTACAGGAGGCAGGATCAGCCGCAGCGCTGCCGGTCATGGTCTCCGCTGCGTCCGTGCTTCTCACCACCCCTTCACCCTAAAAAGCAAACCAGCATCTTCTTACTATTTCAAATTGAAAGTAATCACTTAAATTTTAAATATAGCTTCCCTTGCCATTCGTAAAATCTCCAAAATATATGCTAATTAAAAATTCCAGGGGTGCCTGGGTGACTCAGTCCATTGAGCATCCGGACTCTTCGTTTTGGCTCAGGTCATGATCTCAGGGTCGTGAGATTGAGCCCCGCGTTGGGCTCCGCACTGGGGGTGGAACCTGCTTAGGATTCTCTATCTCCTTTTCCTTCTGCCCCTCCCGCCACACCCCCTTCCCTCCAGCTCTCTCTACAATAAAAAAAAAAGTAAAAACATACGTAATACCAAATTTCACTCCTTACAGGAAAAACCACCCACAGTGTCAGCTGAGCCTGCAGTACCCCCTGGCAGAAACACCTGTGTGCTGTTTCTACACGGCCCCACTAAGAGGATCACAGCAGGCGTACCACGTAACCTGTGAAAGATCAGTACGTGACAGACAAGTTCTGCATAACACATGTGTGCCCCTGCCACCCGAGGCAGCAGGGCCCCTGCGGTGGGGGGCGGGGGGGGCACTGTTCACCATGCCCACGCACCAAACTTCCAAAACATCCATCAGGAAAGTCCACAGGGCCAACAAACATTCACGGAACGTGAGGCAGCAAATGACACGGGGGCGGGTGAGGACACAGGGTGACCTCAGGGTGACCAGGGCATTCACTGCAAAAGGAAACTGATCCATTCAAATCTGAATGGACTTAGATTCTAAAGCTCATATCCTTCAAAACTTTTCCCACTTTGCCATTTCATTAAACCTGAGCCCAGTAACAAAAAATAAAATTATTGAAACACAGCCCACTCTTTTAATAAAACTTACATGCTCACCATGGCTTACCTGTCCAAGAACAGTTACATAAATTACACATATCCATAAAAATTCAATACAACAGATTTTCAAAAATTACTCAATGACATGGAAAAATGCCGAAAGTTTTAAAAACTCAAACACAAAGCCATACATAACTTCAAACTGAGGGGAATCCCCTCAATCCCCACAACGTACCATTAAAAAAAGATTTAAGTGCTTAGGGCGCCTGGGTGGCTCAGTTGGTTAAGCGACTGCCTTTGGCTCAGGTCATGCTCCTGGAGTCCCAGGATCGAGTCCCGCATCGGGCTCCCTGCT